GCACTTGACCAAGCGGGCACCCGCCTTTTGCGCCCCCGAGCAGGCTCCTGGGAGCCGCCAGGCTGGTCCTGGGGAGCAGTGGAGGGCTGGGAGCCCTCGGGTGGCTGTTGTGTGGTGGCAGGGCCAGGGTCTGCTGGCACGGTTGCTGGCAGCCTTGCAACTGGAACAAACTGTGTAGCCAGCCCGTGGCCCTTTAAGGGCTCCGGAGCCGGGAGGGGGGCAATAGAGTTTCCCTGGTGTTGGCCAGAGTGGCCACCAGGGAAACCTGGGAAGCATTAGCCTCCCACTAGTTCGAATTAAGGGTCTACACAGCCCTTAATTCGAACTAGCTAGTTCGAATTTAGAATTAATCCTCGTAAAATGAGGTTTACCTAGTTCAAACTAAGCGCTCCGTTAGTTCGAATTAAGTTCGAACTAACGGAGCGCTAGTGTAGCGCCTATCAAAGTTAGTTCGAACTAACTTTGTAGTGTAGACATACCCTCTCTGAGGCTCTGAATCCTGAAACCCAGCCCTCACTGGTGACAGGAGGGGTTTTAACATAAGGGAAACTGTTCACCATCAGAGCGGTTTAGATCATTGTTCCTCAAACTGTGGTATGAGTACCCTTAGGAGTACTTGAGAGAAGTCTGGGGGTACATCAACACATCTGAAATTTGGAAAAAACTAAACTTTTTTGTTTTTAAGTTTTATAGCACTTTATTATTTTTGTACTTCTTACATCCCAAAATTTTATCGCTTATCTTTGCTACAAGTAAGTTATGTAAACAAACATCGTAGAAAAAAATGGTGTGTCTGAAAACTAGGTATTTTTTGGGGGAAGGGATACTTTATTTAAAAAAAGAGGTTCAGAAACACTGGTTTAGATCACAGGAGCTGCAAACCAGTCTATGGGAGTGAGCTGCCTTGGGACTGGAGAGCAGGAGGTTACAAGCTGTTGCTGACTGGCAGAGAAACAGTAGTAATCTTCCATTTGCCTTATAGACCCACAATGGAATCAGGGCCCTGCACAACACCCAGCAAGGGACAATCCCTGGCCTGAGCAGGTTACAGTTTAGTTAGACAAATGGTGGGAAGAGAAAGTGGGACAACAAGTTCCCTCATGGTCACCACGCACATCAGTGAGGGTATGTCTACACTACAGCGCTAATTCGAACTAACTTAGTTCGAATTAGTTAATTCGAACTACGCTAATTTGAACTAACGCATCCAGACTAAAAAACTAGTTTGAATTAGCATTTTGCTAATTCAAACTAGCATGTCCACACAGAGTGGACCCTGAACTGGGGTTAAGGATGGCCGGAAGCAGTTCTGGCAGGGCATCAGATGAGGACTTAGAGCGTGGAGCTGCTATCTCAGGCTAGCCGAGGGCTGTGCTTAAAGGGACCCGACCCTCACCCCGGACAGACAATTCTCAGGGGTGCCCCACTTGCAAAGCAGTCTTGGCTTGGATTGCCGGAGTACCCACACTGGGCACATCATAGCACTCGGCCATCAAACCGGCTGCACTTGCCTCAGGCTGCCATCTGGGGAGAGGAGGCAATTGGGGGGCTGCAGGAGAGCTTCCACCCCCAGAAGCCCGCAGAGCCAGCCCAATCCTCCCCATCGGGGGTCGTACCCCATTCCTCCCTCACCTCCTTCCACTTACCCCTCCCTAACCCCCGTTCCTGATGTACAAAATAAAGGACAATTGTGTTCAAAAATAGAATCTCTCTTTATTGAACAAAACTGGGGGAGACTGGGAAAAGGAGGTGGGAGAGGGGAAGAGAGAGGGTGGGAGAGGGGAGGGAAACTACAATGATGAAGGGTTTGGAACAGGTCCCATATGAAGAGAGGCTAAACAGACTGGGACTTTTCAGCTTAGTAAAGAGGAGATGGAGGGGGCATATGATAGAGGTCTATAAAAGCATGAGTTGGGTGGAGAGGGTGCATCAAGAAAAGTTCTTCATTAGTTCCCATAATAGAAGGACTAGAGGACAGCAAAGGAAATGAATGGGTAGCAGGCTTCAAACTAGTAACAGACAGTTGTTCTTCACAAAGCAAAGAGTCAACCTGTGGAACTCCTTGCTGCAGGAGGCTGTGAAGGCTAGAACTAGAACAGAGTTTAAAGAGAAGTGAGATAAAGTGATAGAGGTTGGGTTCATGGAGTGGTATTAACCAGGGGGTAGGAGCGGTGTCCCTGCCCAAAGTTTGTGGAAGGCTGGAGAGGGATAGCACGAGACAAATGGCTTGGTCACTGTCTTCGGTCCATCCCCTCCAGGGTCGGCCGCTGTCGACAGACAGGCTACTGGGCTAGATGGACCTTTGGTCTGACCCAGGACGGCCATT